GCTGGTGGTGGTGGTGGTGGTGGTGGTGGTGGTGGTATTTGGTAATCACAACTACAGCGGGACCTCAGCTTTCCAGATTTCACAGTATATAGGAATGATATGTGTGTGACAATATTTAAACTGGCTAAACATGACTCTTAATCTTCAATTGTTCCCAAGTGGATAAGAGTCTAGAGAGTGTTCCCTTATCGAAGTGTCCAAGTCTGTTTCCTTTACCCATTAAATTACTAACAGCTGTAATTAAATTTGGTTATCAGCTTTAATTCTAGCAACAAAATCTCCAGTCGACTTCTCTGTTGCCACCAGCATAACTTTAGGGAGTAAGGACATAAAAAGAAACCTAGTAAGTGGACATCCAGAGCTGTGAGGTCAGCAGGACTGATATCGCTTTTGTTGGATTCGTTAAAGCCAATGTGCGCTCTTTGTAGTCACTACGTCAAGGGACTGCAATGCATGTCCGAAGAAATATCAAGAGTGGGTTTTGTCCTTGATGTTTCACTTGCTGTCATTTATATTTCTACACCATTGCTGTGGGGGAATCACTGTGAGCAGCACCTCACACTTTTATCTGTGTACAGTGTTGAAACCTCTGTGATAATTCTGCAATTCCTATTCAAGCCAGCAAATGTACACTGAGTACCCACGGTGTGAAGTGTTCTCTGCAAAGAGTCATGAGCTTGGCAAAAAACAGTAGCTGATTTACAGTGACACTAATGTCACTTCAGGAATCCTCCCTTAGAGTATCCCCTCCTAGCAGCTGGCACAGATAATAGGAATTTTTAACTTATTATTCTGAAAGTTTGTGAGCTTAAGACTCCTTTGATTGGACTTTCTATCATCCTCCACAGTAGCCTGGTGAGAGCATCCTAAGAATGGGTGCATTGTTTTGGCATGGAACTGCTAAAACATACAGGAGAGAACCAGCTTCCGTGGCTGGGAGACTTACAAGAGGGAAACACCAGCCACGTGACCAGGCAGGGCTGTAAATGTAGCTATAAAACCAGTTATGACTTAGGGGTCTCTGTTTTAGCACACTGAGCTTCTTTAATCAAGGTTGTTTCAATGTGTTTTTAACAGGTGATTGTTTTAAGGCATGAAAATGCTTAGAATTAATTTAAAGAACCCATTTGGGAAATTGTCTTTTGTTAGTAAATGCATGAATCTAAAGTAGAATAGTTAAAATCAATAGAATTATATACAATTTTTAAAATATAGTCAGTTAAAATCCTAACTACTACCATGTGTCAACTAACGTATTTTGTGTTGGGAAGTATGTTAGAAATGTTATGAAAATAAAATGCTCATAACAAACCTATACAATAGCAACCATACCATGATTAACTCTATTTTATAAAGGAATCTGGGGGCTGCAAAGAGTAAATAAAACTGCAAACATTATGCCATTTAAAAATCTCATTAGAAAGGGTTGAAGGGAGGGTAGGGGAATGGGAAAAAAAATCAAGTTATGTCATGTACAGGGACAAATTCCCTATGATGGACATATTATATATACTTAAAATATACAAATGAATTTCATTAATTTTAAAAAGTAAATTAAAAAATAACTTTACTTAAGGATAAGAATGTTATATATATATATATTGATTCAAGATTATAAGTTCCAAAGACCACTCATGAAAGAAGCAATTCAGAAACCTGAATTCTTTAAAATTTTCATATCTTTGAAACAATAATTCCATTTCTAGATTAGAATGAGGAAGTCATCTGAAAGTATATGAAGAATTATGATTAAAAGTCCTCTCTTTGGTATCAAGTACATAGAATGAGCAAATGAAATATTTAAATTAAAAATATACTACATTAGAATGATAAAGTAAATTTATGTTACAATGATATACAATTGCTAACATTTTGCCTGAATTTTTACCTGACATTTTAACAAAATATTAAACATATAAAAACTCATTTATTTAAAGATTGGAAGAAAATATATCAAGATGAGTTTTTTGACATGACTGTGGAGCTGGGAAATTTCCACCTGTAGCTAAAAGTATGAACACAGTAACACTGGTCTGAAACTCACTCTAAGAAGTAAATCATTAAAATAATGATGAACATAGGTGACTCCCCTCAAAAAAAAAAAAAAAAACTTCCATTAAAGACTCCTAGAACTAATAAATTAATCAAAATAGCAGAATATAAAATTAAAACAAAAAATCAACAGCATTCTTGCACATCAACAATGACCCCACTGAGAAAGAAATTAGGAAAACAATCTTATTCACAGCAGCTTGAAAAAAATTAAATACTTAGGAATTAACTTAACCAAGGATGAAAAGGACCTCAATAGTGAATGGTACAGAATTTGGGGGGAAAAATTCGAAAAGGATATAAGAAAATAGAAAGATATCCCTTTTTCCTTTGTAGGTGAACAAATATTGTCAAAATGGTCACATACCAAAACTAATAAATAGATTTAATGTAATCTCAATCAAAATACAAAAACTATGCTTTATAGGAGTAGGGGGGAAAATCCTAAAATTTACAAGGAAACAGAAAAAAAAGCTCAGAACTGCAAAAGTAATCTTGAGCAACAGGAAGCAGAAGGTGTCACAATCCTAGATTTTAAGATATATTAGAAAGCAATGAAGATAATAATACAAAAACTCCATGGTTTTGGCACAAAAGCAAACGTGAATCAATGGACCAGAGTATAGGACCCAGGACATCTTAGGCACACGTAGCCATCTGATCTTTGCCAGAGGCCAAAAACATACTGGAAAAAAACCTGTCTCTAAATGCAAACTGGTTTTCCACATTCAGAAGACTGAATCTAGGCCCATACTTTTCATGTTATACTAAAATAAAATCAAGATGGATCAAAGACCTAGATATTAAAACAGAAACAATCTGTTAGAAGATAAAATAGGTAAAACTCTTGAAGACAGAGACATAGACAAAGACTTTCTGAACAAATCTAATTACACAGAGAACAACACAAAGAATCAACAAATGGAATTATATCAAATTAGAAAGCTACTACTGTCCAGCAAAGGAAGCAACCAACAGAATAGGCATCCTACAAAATGGGGCAAACATTTGGCGCTCTTTGTTGAATAGAGAACTAGTATCTAGAATACATAGAGAAGTCAAAAAAGTGCACCCTCAGGACTCCATCAAAAAAGAGGGGCTACTGGGGTGAATAGATACTTCTCAGAATAGATAGCCAGCATTTTGGGCTGTCAGAGAAGTGAAAATCAAAACAACACTCCGAGTTCATCCTACTCCAGAAAGAGTGACCATCATCAAGAACTCAAGAATGTAACAAGTGCTGGTGAGGCTGCAGGGGAAAGGGAGGTCTTCTCCATTGTTGGTGGGAATGTGAGTTAGTACAACCACAATGAAAATTAATATGGATATTCCTCAAAAAAACGAAGATAAAAGTTCCATTTGACACAGTTATAACCCTCTGCATATCTTGCCAAAATATTAAAGACTGGGTACTGCAGTGATACATACATATCCATATTATAGCAGCACAGCTCCTAACAGCAAAGTTTTGCAATCCACTGATAGGTCTATCAGTGGAAGGATAAGGCAAGTATGTTATACAGTAAATACACAATGGAATAATTGCCAACCATAAAGAATAATAAATCTGAGCTGTTTGTAGGAAAATGGATATAGCTTCAAATCCATTAGAGCAAAGTCAAATAAATCAGACCAAGAAGGTCAAATACGATATAATTTCTCTTATGTGAGAAATCCCAAGTATAAGTAATATAAATATCAAAATAAAAGGTCATAGGAAACAGAGAAGTGGATCTTTTACACATGGGAAGGGATTCTAGGGATGTAGGAAGAGTGGAGGGAGGGGGGAAAGAGAAGCAAAAAAGGTTTGCTATGTGCTATATTTGGGTACCAACTCCTCACCATAAATGTATTCTTTAGGTACTGGAAACATACTAAAAATATGAAAGCAAAAGTGAGCCTAATATCATTGGATAATACTCTCACATGCTATTTTTCAAATTCTTGAAGTTTCTCTGCCTCTCCCAATCTTCTATTCCAAATTTTCATTGTATTTATACTAAAAAAAAATTAGAAGTAAGGATCATTAAAAACTGAAGATGTTGAGGAAGGATCCCAAAGGACAGGAACTTTAATTGCATCTTCATATACTGATGCAGTTTGTGTGGTGATGGAGGAAAGGATGGTCTAAAACCAGTGCCAAAATGACTAGAACCCTGGAGTGGGGATGTACAGGTTGCAGCAGAGAACTGTCCTAATTAGGTGGAATTCAAAAAAGACACAAAATCAATTTCAACTACTCGCATAGAACCAGATTATGGTAACAAACGGGGTCTAGATTGTTTACCAGTAAAGATGGTGGGTTGGGAAGGGCTCTTGAGCCAACACTGATCTGTCGTACAGGTCCCAACTGAGTCTTGGTAAGGAACATACATACCGTAGAGTCAATTTATGGGAAGAATCTACATTCACAGGATTTATTACAGTGAGTGCACGAAATGATAATCATGGGAGAAATGCAGCCATTCTGAAGACGCTGTGTACTAGGGACTTCACTGATACCATTTTAGTAAGGGAGAAAGGCACAGCTTATTTAGAAACAAAATGACTCACATTTTATTTCACATATTTAGTTTGAGGAGAGCATCTACCAAGGGAGTAAGTCCCATGAACAGTTGAGATATAGAACTCTGAAGCTGGAGGAAATGAAACAAAGTTTTCCTTATGACTCAAACAAAGCTCTGAGCCAGAGGAGGGAAAGAAAAAACAATCCACTTTGCCTGGTACTGTCAGAGTTTGCTAGCAGTTACTCATTTTAAGTGTCACTTTGCAAACAGACTTAAACCAACCTTTTGGAACCTGACCAATGTATAAATATAAATTTTGTAAAGGGAAGGCCTATCATCTACAAGGAAGTGAAAGTCAAAACCATGAGTCAGAGTTGATCCAGGGAAAGCATACAGAAAGGAAAGTGAAATGGCAAAGAATGAAACTCCAAGAATGCTCACAGATAAGACAGAAAAGAAGGAAGACTTCAGTTCCACAACAGACCGCCTGGGACCGTCAGAATTCTGAGTCAGGAAGCCCAGTTAGCTCTTCAGTCGGACATGAGCAACCCACACTGGAACCCTGGAAAAGAAAGCCGGGGGAAAACAAAAAATTTTAATCTTAACTGAGTGCATAATTGTTCTCTGTAAAACGGGAAATACCCCTAAAGTCAACTGCTCTGTGACTGTCACAGAAGAATTTATTCCTAAAACAAAAATTCTCTGAGGAAGTTAAGAAGCAGAAATATTTCAGTTTCAAACTGATTACAAAGACATTAAGACTAAAGAATGTGTTTACCTGGAAGTCGCCCAATGAGCTGATATAACCTGTAATTGAAGTTGAATCTGTTACATTTTCCTTCTAAAAACACATGTAAATCAAAGAATATTAAAGACAATAACCTTCCCAATTTTTAAATATACCTAAATATTAGATATAAGTATGCAAGTATTCTATACATTTATATCCTCAGTGGTTAGCACAATGAGATGCTTTTCTATTCCTTCTCTCTCCATGATTTCAGGCGAAAACACCAACTGAGCTGCTTCTCAGAGGCTCCCATATATGGGTTTCCAAGCACAATTTTGCTTTCACTCAAATTAGAGCGAGGACGCTCATCCTCTCCACGGCCACATCCCGAGAGGCTTAGTTAAACTGAAGCTGAAGAGCGATTCTAAGTCTCAAGAGCCCTCGTGGGGGATCGTGGGTGTACTGTGTCGCCAGGGTTACAGTGACACCCAGCAGCCATGCACGGGAGGAAAAGACAGTGAATTTAAACACAATGAAAAATGTAAGCTTGCTCTGATACTGAGACCCAAAAAGGCTAATTTTTGTTAAATTTAAGAATTAACCACCATTTGTCTGTGTTTGTTCAAATATTGTTTTTAAGAAATAAAGCAACACAGATAAGCTTAAAGTTCTTATATCTACAGTCACATGCATTTCACTCTTCCCACCAAGATGAATTCTACAGTTGGATTTCGTACTTCAGAAACCTTAAGTAAATGCCCAACAGCACCAGTAACCAAGGAAGCAGCACTTAAAATCTCAAAGTACTTGGGGCTGGGGATTTAGCTCAGCTGCATAAGCACCTGCTTGCAAGCAGAAGGTCGTGAGTTTGATCCCCGGTTCCAATAAAAATGAAAAAGACAAAAAAAAAAAAAAAATCTCGCGGTACTAGGAAGCACCAGATTGTCTCAAATTTATAAAGCCTGGAGGTGTCAAGCTCTAGTGAGTTTGTAATAATATTCTTTTATCTATCTGATGACAACATAAACTTGAACTTACCATTTTTTCCAGTGTCTTATACATACAGTATGTGCTTGCCATCATGACAGGGAAGTTCCCAGCTAGGCTGAGAAAGTAGCCCAGTCCTTCCTAAGAAGAATTATGCTCCTTGGACCTCATTTCTACACCTGGGGTTAGTCCTTGACAATGGTTTAGAGTCAAACATTCGATGTCAGGTGGTACTGGATATGTAATTGCCAGTGTAGGTCCTCAACAGCTTTACTCCTCTGCCAAGATGATCTCAGAAGCATGTGCTTACCTGAAGGCACCATAAAATCGAGGCATCCTGGGGAATTGTGAACCAAATCCATCGAGGAGAGCTTCCCTGGAGAGTCACATGAATGCACTAACAGATTTTATCTAAGCAAGAGACAAATTTCTTTTGTGTCATTGGGATTTGGAGATTGCTTTTTATAGTAGCAAAACTATCTTATGGTGATGAATAAATACCTACATATACCCAACAAAAATTTGCACATATGTAAACAAAAAGACACAGTACAGAGATGCAATCTTTGAAACAGGAAATTGAAAAATACCTTAATATTTATGAATAGTGAGATCAATTCTGGTATATGTTTATTTTCAATTTAAAACACACAAGAACATATTTTATGTATGTATAGAGTGATCCTAAACACATTTTCAAGAAGAACAACTTTTCTCTATTACAGATAGAATATTGTAATGATAGAATACATTTGTTTTATTTTTTTTGTTTTGTTTTGTTTGTTTTATTTTGGTACCAGGGATTGAACTCACGACTTTATGCTTGCCCAGCAGGCAATTATGCCAATTCTAACCCCTGGCTAGAATACATACTTATCTAGGGCAGGAAATTGTTTAATCAACATTCTCAGTGCTTAGAATTGTTGTGATTAGTAACAGCTCAGTAAATATCTGTTGAATAAGTCGATGGTTTATTTATTGGTTTGTTCATTTATTAATGAACAAATCATATTAATGGTTTGTTTATACATGAATAAACTTATTTCAAAGTTTAGAATTATAATACATATTATATGATATCTATGATATATATTTATGAATATATGCATATATGCTAACAGACATTTTTAACACCAGAGTAAAATCATGTCACAGTCAAACAATAGATCTCGTGTGGCACTGGATGCTGTGTATAAATGCCAGTACAAATGCTCAAACTCCTTCCTGAACTAGAACTTAGCTTTGTTAAGTCATTTTCAGTTCAATAATTATAAAACTAGCTCAGTTATTTACCCCTTCCAAATCAAGATTTCTCTGAATTATGACATTTCAATATGACCTTTGCTATTGATGGTAGGCATGCTTCTTAATTCTTAATTCTTCTTAATTCTTTGGTGCCACTATCTCTTCACTGGGAAAATAAAAATAACAACAGTACTTTGTAATAGTACAGTGAAGATGAAATTTAACTATTTGTGTGTGTGAATATATATATATATATATATATATATATATATATATATATAACACATATGGCATGCAATATAAAGTAAACCATAAAGTAAGCCGTCAGTAACTATTAGAAATCATTATTATAAATGTCACTAGGACATTAGTCTTTCTCTGACCTTTAAAAATCATTGTCTTTTTCTAAATGTTTTGTATGTGAATCATCACATATACACAGGAATTAATAATGATATATCCTTACATTTCCTAGCTTTCTGAGGCTATAGTACATCTTTATATAGTGTTTCAACATAAAAACACTTAAAATGGAGCTTCTCAGTAAACAGTTTCCGGGCCAACATGCCTTAATTTGTGCAGCTGAAATATGAAGAAGGAAAAAAGAGGCATTTTGAGGCTTCCTATCAACAGTCTTTCAATTGGATTTCAAACTGTAAAGTTGTATTGTGGGGGGGGGGCATGTGTTTGTGTGTGTGGTAATAGACACGGCCATTAGCCATCTTACACTCAGACTAACTTGAACTGATTCTGTAGAAGTTTAAGATTTAAAGCTATTCTCCCCACTGATTAAAAATAAACTTTAACACTGTGCCTTTATTGTAACATCTTTTTAAAAAATCAGTGACTCTAAGTGATAGTTGTTATCCAATTTTCTGAACATCAGGACATCACCTAACTTGTCTCCTCCTCCTCCTTAAACCTCCATAATTTTGACTTTCTTTCTGTTTCTCATAGACAGTAACTTAAAAATTCTAATGTGCAGATAAACTAAACTGTTCAGGTTAAATCTCTTATGATTTGCTATAAGATTAAATTCCAATTTCTATATTGCTTGGATAAAAAGATACAATCGATGGTAGACATTTATCCACCAAATAGTTAACTTTCCTTTAAATAGAGTGTTTATTTTGGGGATATGCAATTGTGAGAAAATGATAGTGGTTACCCAAAACAAGTATCCGTTTACGATGTCCTATTTTAGATGGCCATGATGGCTTTACTGTTTCATGTGGAACTACTTTTCTAACTGCTCTGTTGGTGTCCATAATTATAATAAGGGACATAAATGGAAAGAAAGAGGGGAGGGAAGAAGGAAGGAAGGAAGAAGGAATAAAGGAAGGAGAGAAAGAAAGAAAGGAGGAGAGAAATAAAAATGATGTAAAAATAGAGAGAGAAAAAATAGAGAAAGGAGGGAAAGAAAGAGAAAGAGACAAAGAAAAAAGAAAGAGAAAAAATAATCTCACAAACTCAAAAAACCAATAAAGAAGTTTACCCTGTAGCCAAAATTCAATATTTTATGTCTATTTTATAATTTTGCTTTTCTTTTGAGCACATTTCTCTTCCATGATAATACCCATACCAATAATTAATAAGTATGTTTGTCGAAAACAAAACAAATAAATATTAGGAATTTTAATTTTCAGTAAGTAAACACCTCTTTGCCACTAAACTTTATCCTTGGAGACTTTTTTATCTTGCAGGTTTTGATAGAAATAAAAGCTCATTAACAGAATATTTTTTACCCTACCCATTACAACTTCATTTTGAATCACAGCTCATTAAAACAATTATCATCAAATGTTTCATTTCTTTTTCCCTTGTGAGAAATAACTGAAAAGGTTATGTTTGTTTTTCTTTATCTAAATCTCAGGGGTGATATAAACAGGCTACAGAGATCCATGTGCTGTTTCTCATTTAAGTTTCAATGTGTCTCTGATGCTAACTCGAGTTATTTCATATTTATTTTAACATTATTTCAATAGAATTTCAAAACTTGGCATTATAAGCTTAGCGAAATTAACAAGACATTTAATTTCACCCTCTCAAAATTCAAATATTGGCAGGTGATTGCTTAATGTAATTCAGTTACATTCCCATGCAGGTGTATTCTATTTTGGATCTCTCCAAAGCTAAGAAAGAATACATTCCTGATGGTTACTTTGTCTTCTCTTACTTTCTGAAGTGTAATACAGCACACCATGTCATAGCAGCAGCCCTGGACAACAGGGTTGAACGTTCACAATGGCTACTGCTCACTCAGCTCGGCCACAGCTGAATACAGCCATGTGTATTCTATGGTAGAAGTCACCAGAAACTAATTGGTGTGTCCTGGCTTCTCTTTGCATCCTCTTGATGGCTACAGTCTTTTTATGCTCCAAATACATATAAGTTAAGTATGAATCTATATCAAAAGTTTCATTCATATTGGCCCATCCAAGTATCTAGATACCTGAAAGAATATCTCACCAGTAGAAAGAGATTTTAAAAAGAAACTTGGCATCTAATCTCATCTCCACTATTAATACTACCCTCTACTTACACACCACGTATATGGAATCATCTCACCTTTGCTGACCTTTCCAACAATATTTACAATAGGTATGTTTTGTCATTACTAATCAATGACAATGCACAATTATTGTTGTAGGTTGACAAAACTTTAGATGTACATACCACTAAATATTTGCACCAGAAACCTAGGTAAATGGAGGAAGAGGAGGACACAAATAAAGGTCACACTAAAAAGTTCACACTAAAATTCTTTGCTAACATTACATGCACAATTTTACTTCTCCTTTTTCCATGAATTCTTCCCAATGAATTAGCATATCCATTTTATATAGCAAGAGCCATTTGGAAAAGTACAATTTTGACATCATATAGACCAAAACATAGAGCTATCTGGCATCTTTTCAAAAAGCGTATTCAGTCCGAATGATTATGTATGCAAAGTGAAAGAATGTAGGACTGGTTAAGTGAATTTCTTAAAATTTATGGAAAAAATAGTATGAAAAAAGTATGCACTGGATCTACCTTCCTTATGAAGTTTAAAATCATGAAAAAGTAAACTGAGCTAATATTGTACCATGATGTTTAAGGACTAGAACTGAAACTGAGTTGATTTGGATTAAATGGATTTCTTCTTATGGTATTTATGTTTAAACTAGTTAATAAAAATAATGAGTGATTTCTTGTAACTTTAACAGTGTGTGCTGCATGCATGTGACTCT